TGCTGTGAGCTATGACACCATAGCACTCTACCAGAGGCAATAAAGTGAGACTGTCTCAAAAGAAAAAAAAGAAACCCAGCTGTGATCAGAAAAACATGATGACTGGTTCATAGAAGGGAGAGCCTGGTCAGTGCACTGGTTGGGGAAACACCAGAGGTAGTAAGGAGAGCTGGACACAGGATGGCAGGGGATGCAATTTTAACAGAGAAGTATGGAAGGGCAGAGAGACTGTCATACCAGAATGGATGGAATGGACTTTTCCTCTTTCCAGGTAGGGCTGTGAAGCACAGAAAAAGGAGCTAAGTACAGAGGGGACATCCCCATCCATATTCTTTCTCTAATGACTTCTCCCAACCTCTGGCATCTGGAACTACAGTGTCCTACAACCAGTGGGAAATTATCCCTAGATTAGGGCTTATTGGTATAAAGATTTATGGAAGTTAAAAATTGTACACCCTCATCTTCCCACCTCTTATTGCCCCTGCTCCCCCACCACTTGCTTCCACATCATCTTGATTTATTTCTTAATTGCACTAAATTTAATTTGAAGTGAGCAGTGTTTATTTATTTATATATTAGTTATCTGTTGCATAGTAAGTTAGTTTCCCAGTTAGTTTCCATTTTCTCCTTTACTCACCAGGGCCTTTGACTAAGGTTCTCCCAGAAGACAGCTCCATAACGCTGGGCCATCGGTCTGGGACTCTGGGAAGGCAAGGCTGGAGATAGAGATCGGCTGACCACCCTGGAACATCTGAGGTGAGGACAAAGTATGCTGGGGTCTGGCTCTTTTCTTAGGGCATCTACTCACCCCAGGGATTCAGGTGCCCATTTTTCCATGGGACCATACTGCTGCCCAGGTTCTCTCAGGCCATGTCCTCTCTTAACCAGTTTAGCTAAGGAAAGTGGTGAGGTCTTTGATTTGAAAGGACATTGGTGGAGACTGGCTATTGTTCAAACCTCAGATCTCGCTCAATCTCAACTTTCTATACCTTATAACCAGAGAATGTAATATTTAGCAAGCAGAACTGTTGAAGAGGAAGGCCCTGGCTACTTATGTGATATAACAGAAAGGGTTCCTTTAGGTCAATGCAAGGATCCAGGAGAGAAAACCTCTGTTTACTCCTATGTCTTGTCTCCTATCTCAGAAAGAATAATATATTTGTAAATAGGGAGAAGTGTGCAGAGCTGTTTGAGAATAGTGCTCCTCACTCCCAAAGCCTATAGACAGAATGATGACTACTGTGATCTCTAAGAAGTAAGGTGTCTTAGTGCTTAGGCCTGGGGCCTTTTATCTTCTCTACCTTTCCTAGGTGATCTCACCCAGACCCATGACTTCAAATACTGTCAATGTGCTGACAACACCCAAATCGGTATTTCTAGCCTTGGTTTCTCATGGGCACCATTCAACATTTCCTCAGCTTTCCTCCCTTGCTGAAAGACACTCCAAATGTCCACTTGCTAGGTCCAAAAACGTGCTACGTGTCACTTTCCATCACCTCCTACATCTAACACATCAGCAAATCCTGTCAGTTCTGCATTTTAAAAACTGCATATCCGAATTTGACCACTCCTTACCATTTCCACCCCCCACCAAATTCCTGTTCATCTTCCCCTCCCCAAACTATTGCACTGGTCTCCTCTTCCTGCTTCCATTATCATCCTCCAACAATCTGTTCTGCACAGAGCAGTATGAGTAATCTTTTAAAACATGATCACGTGAAATGATATAATGTCTGAGATATACTTCAAAATGATTTAGGAAGAAGGGGGTTGATGGGATGGATGTAGAGATGAAAAGATTATCTACATAATGATAATTTTTTTTTTTT